GCAATGGGCCCAAGTGTAGCAATGATCGTGAGGGTGGTACAGGCCTGTGCAGTGTATCGTTCTGTGGTGCATAGGGGGCTCTATGAATCAATACTGACTCAATGGCACCTAACAATGATTAACAAGAATCTCAGGGCACTATACTGGGCTCCTGTGGATGTTGGAGCTGATATTCAAGCTGTGATTGAATTTTCATGCTGTGTGCCTGGCATTTTTCCAGCAGAATTATCTTTCTCTAATAGCCCATCTATTAGATGAGTAGCAAGGTCGGTGGTTCAAGCTCACCAGCTACTGCTCAGAAATCCTATACAGGTTCGCTACGGGTCGGAACTGACTTGATGGCACTTACCAATAATAGCCCATCTAGCTGTGAACTTATGGAGCTGATTCCATTCAAAGAGGTGCCTTTACCTAATTGTTATAAAAAGATGCCACATGGACTGTTTTTTGGCCTTTCTCCTCACTATTCACTAATTTGGACTCTCATAATGTCCAGCCCCTGGACAGAGGGAGAAACTAAGTCCCCATGCCTGTTTCCAGAAGCTCCTTCATGCTTTTCCCAAAGGCCCTATATATCAGGGTTTGGTTTGGTCACAGATGATACCTGGCCCAAGAGTCCCTTCCTCAAGCAGATTCTTTTGCTTGAGAATTAGAATTGAGACACAGAGGGGATGGCCAGTCACCGGTGGCTCTTGACAAGAGTCAAGATGCAACCACTTTGTGTATGGTGGGTCTACAGAGAGAGTTAGTTTGAAGAAAAATCAAAGGGAAAAGCCCAGCTGCAAATATTGCCAAGCAGGTGAAAGAGGGTGAGGCCCAGTTGCCAGTTCCAGTTTTCTTGAGGCCCAGCCACTTTTGATTCCCATCCTTAGATTTCCGCATAATCCCAGTTCTTCCATCTCTTTAAACTAACTGGAGTGGGTCTCTGTTCCATGTAACCACAGAGTCTTTGTTGGAACAAGTACCTCAGCCCCAAGGAGATTCCTGAGGTAGTCCCAACTGTGTAAGCTCCCTTAGGCCTCCTCTTCCTGTTTGCCCTCATGCCCGCCTATTCCAGGTCAGGGAAGAGTAGGAGCCATCAGCACGGTCACACCTTTTATTCATTGTCAGTGGGACAAAAAAAAAAGAACCACCCCAAACTCAACACACCACAAAACACAGGGTCAAACGGTGAAGACAGTCACTGCAGGCACAGCCTGAAGCAGCACATCTGGAGTGGGGGCAGGGGGCTGCACTGGGGAGCCTGTGGTGAGGTGAGGGCCTCCCCTGCCTCCTCTGCCTGCTGCTTAGAAGGCCCTGGACCTGACCAGCCTCCACTAAACTAGAAGGGCCAGACACCCTGGGAAGACTGGTCCTGCCTCCACATTTGGGCAGAGGAAAAATAAAACCCTGCAAGTTCTAGAAATGAAATCATTATTTTCTGAATTGGATGAATTAAGTTTTTCAACAATGATGACTAAAATATGTAAGAAATGTATTCTTGTCTCTACATGATCTCTAAAGGCAGCATAAAACCTCACCCAGGGTGGATCTTCAGGAAGTATGTGTTGTCTTAATATATTTCTGTGTCAAAATATTTACAGTGTCCATGTACTACCCTGCCTAGAAACCCCGGCTTATTCTCTTGAATCGTATCCTTTTATCCTTCCGTCTTCCTATCTATCTATCTATCTATCTATCTATCTATCTATCTATCTATCTCCTACCCCTAGGGGCTCTGCCATTGTCAGAAAATAAAGAATTCAGTACCTTTGCCTATATGCTTACTTTTTCTGAAACTTTGACTTAAAAGCACATGATATAATTCTGACTACAGCCTGCTGGAGTGGCCATCAGAAGTAGCCCTTGCTAATAATCTTTAGAGATAAGAAAAGATGAGCTTATCAATCAGCCCAAAAGAATGAATGAGGACAGAATAGAGTGAAAAGGCAGGATGTACGAAGTGACCTTGCAAGTCAGAGTTGTTGCAAGAAGATACGGAGTCTCAAGGGAGAATTTGGATTTAACTGTGAGTCAGACTTCATTTTCTACTGGTCATGTATTTTGTAATGAGTCTCTCTCAGCCAAGGAGGAATGAGAGGACCTGCCTCTCTCCTCAAGATAGGGCCGGTGCTCTACCTCAAGAGCTCCTGAGAACCCAGTCCCTGGGGTACACAAGAGCATGTGGGAGCAAGGCCCGGCCCACCTGTGGCTCCTCCCTCAGCACATGGTGGGTCCAGATCATGACCTGGCATTATGAATTCACATTGCTGGGCTGTCTATGAGGTCTTGGGCTAGACCAGCAAGTATTACCCATGGGTATGTGTCTAGAAGCTTGCAGTGATCAACCATACCACCCATGGGTAGGTCTTTCTTGCCCATCAGCTTGGAAAAGACAAAAACAGCCCTCTTAGGGAAGACGTTCTCTTAGAGAAGGTAGTGCAAGATGCTTCCAGGGTTCTGAGTCAGAGGCTCCCAGGATAGTAGTGATCCATTAGCTAACTGCCAAGAAGCAGAAAACAGGGTCCTTGAATATGTGAGACTTAACCAAGCTGCTTTTTTTTTTTTTTGGAAGACAACAGCTTCAGATGCTTCTCAGCAGGAAGCTGGTCAAAGACCAAAACCAGCTTAACTTGCCCTACAATCAACCTCTGCACAGCTCAAGAGTCAGAGAAATGAGCAGGGAAGACTGAAGGGAAGAAACCCTCTTAGAGTCTTGGGTTCAAGTCATGACACTATGTCACCTGCTAATTGTGTGACTGTCCCTCTGCACAAGGGACTCCCCTTCTCTGAACCTCCAACTCCAAGTCTGGAGGAAGGGAATGAAATCATTATTTTTCTAGACTGTGAGGACAGAATGAGGAGGGGTAGATGGCAAGCCTTTCAAAAGCGATGACGTTCTGTTCAATTCTTGGTTTGGTTAGATTCAACATTTGAGGGAAAAGAAGCCCAGTTTTGTGAAAAGTCTTCCATCAGACGATCAGGCAGCAGCTGAGCCAGGTTGCTGAGCATCTGTGATGCTGACTGAGAGCACAAGACCACAACTCCTGAGAGCAACGGAACATCCTTTGAGACATTACTGTGTAAAGAGTTGGTCGTTCCTGCTTGAGGATGTGAATTCCACAGCCTTACCATGCAGCTGGTCATAGGCAGAAGGATAGAAAGAGGGTGGCCACCCAGTGGTCCTGCTTGGCCAGGGGCTACTAACTTCAAGGGCAACAAGAAGGTCCAATAGAACTTAGGACCAATGATCACCATTTCCAAGTTTCCACCTGTAGAGAGACAGGGCAGGTGAGCACCCAGAAGTAAGCATCTGCAGAAGCAATTCCCTCAGCCCCCTGCTGACTCAGTAATCATTCCCTACTCCCACCCTGGCTGACAACACCTGTGTAATAATAGACTGTTTTTACCAGGGAATCAAGAGGAAGTCACTTGTCACTGCACATCAAAGCAAATCTCTGATCACAAGTCCAGGAGAAAAGAAAGTGCAAGATTTGATGGAGAAGCAAGATTAATTTTTCTGGTAGTCAAAGCATGCAGCTGTATAGCTCACAGAACCCAGATCGGAAAACAGACATTGGAAAGCAAAGCTAGTGCCTATGGAAGATGATGAGTTGCTTGACAGATTCAGAATTAAGGGTTAGAAAAAGCCTTTCCAATGGACATGCCCAGCACATTTTTAGGCATTTAGTTCATAAATGTAGCCTGAAAACCTAAAAGGATGATCCCTTCAATGGTCAATTGATTCTTTTCTTCCAGCTCTTTCTGTGGCAGTGAAAGGATACGCTCATGCTTGAAACTCGATCAAGTCCAGAAACGAATGATCAAAATGTGAGAAACACCCTTGTCTTGCTCTTGATCAAATCCTGGTTTTTCAAGTCTCTGCAGTCAGTACCAAGCCGTAGTAGGTGCACAATACAGAGTTGTTCAGAGCATTGAAAAAGGCAATAAAAGGGATGAAGCAAAGCAGCAGAAACTGCTGAATGTGCCAGCTCAGAACAGAGACTGATAAGAAAAAGTGGGAAAAGTGTTATTTGCTAAGGTTAGTGGTATTTTCACTCCCCTTCCCCCTCAGTTCTTTCTTCCCTGAAAATGATCATTTTCTACATTTATTGAATCTCTTTCATAAGAAACCAAGTAATATAGACTATATTTTAACATCCTAAACAAATAAAATGAATTCAGCTCTTTTAAAGGGTATTAAAAAAATAAGCATTCCATACATTTCCATTTTTCTCAAAACTTCTACAATTCCCCACATTCATAGCTCCTAAACATCCAAATGCTGTTCATTTCATCCTTCTGCAGCTTTGTACTAGAAGATTTGACAACTCCTCCCAAACTAGGCAGTCTTCCCCCAACTCTGCTCTCAGTGTTCCCCTCTGAGATCCCAACCACAGGAAATTGCCTCAGGACCCTATGAGCTTCAAGAGGATTTGGGATGTGACTTGTAAACCACCATATTTTTAGCACCTGGAGGTGCCTGGCACAGAACAGGTGCTCATACACAGTAGCTGAACAAAGAATTAAACGAACATCCCCAAAGGCTGGGGCCAGAGGGGCCAGGTAGAATCAAGGGGGCAAGGCAGAGACTCCCTTTATGGTTTCTGGATTCTCAAAAAAAGGACAGATCCAAATTGGACCTTTGACTGGGGCCCATAAGACCATATCCTATGAAGCTCAATCCCAGGAACCAACAAAACTTCAAAGCTGGACCCCAGTCCCCACTCCTTAACCCTGCCTCTTGGGGTAAAAGCCAACTCCCCTATGCCCATTGAATGTTGGTTCTGTGCAAAGGCTGGGGGTGGGGCTAGATGACAGGACACCAGAGGACCTGTCTCTTTTGCAGGGTGGGGTGGTCCCTCAAGGATCTGGACTGAGTGGGGGAAGGGATTGGACAGAGGGATGGTGGGCCAAGGAGTGAGGCCAGATTGTTCCTCCTCCTGGGAAGGTTGGGAAGGTCATTGGGTTAGGAGGTGGCCATGTCCCTCCTGGTCAGGGGCCCTGCCCCTCCCCAGCCTCTACTTCTGCATGTCACACTGCAGCAGCAGCACGATTGATGGGTCACTTTTGGCCGCCTCTTTGAACTCCTCCAGCGTAATCTGGTCATCCTTATCCTGGTCCATCTTCTTGAAGATCTTGTCTACACGCTGCTGGGGTGTGAGCCCATCCTGATTCATGCGCATCATGATCACAGTACCCACCATCTTGTAGATAGCCTGGTGGGAAGAGGAGGGAAGTGTGAACATCCATAAGGAGCAAGTAGAATTAGGGGCAAATGACAGGGACCTGGAGATGGGCATGGTGAGGATACTGGAATGGTCACGAAGATAGGATACTTAGGAAGTATCTCAAACTAAGTAGGTCTAAATACCAACTCTTCACTCACTGCCTGTACTTCCCCAGCATTTCCTGTCTCCATTCTTCCTGCCAGTGACCGCGACACCATTCTTGACCCCCTCTTTCTCTCATACTCCACATCTAATCTTTTAGCAAATCTCATCAGCCTTAATTTTGTAGTAAATCCTATATTCAGAGGTCCAGGGGTACTTCCTATCACTTCCACTGCTCCTCCATAGTTGTAGATTCCATCAGCTCTTACTGGACTATCCTAATTGGTCTCTCTGCTTCTTCAGCACCCCCTCTCCTATCATGGTCTGTCATTCACACAGAGAATAGAGAGGGTCTTCTAATGTTAGGAGTTGAAATCCTAATCCTGATACCTGTAGATGTAATCCTGTTTGGAGGCAGGGGCTTTATTTTGCTGTTTTAAAGAGAGTATGCTAGTAGAGGATAGATCCTAAACCTAGTGATTTCTGAGTTATAAAAAAAAACTACAATAGACACACAGACACATTCAGGGGGAAGTCAGAAGCCAAGGATCATAGAGGATCATCAAGGATCACTGGCAGACATCAGAAACGAAGACAGAGGCTCACAGAAGGAATTGCCATAGCCGAGACCTTGATTTGGGGGTTTTAGCCTCCAGAACTGAGAAAATCTGTGTCTGCTCTTTAAATCTGTGTCTCCACTGGTGGTATTTCTGTTGGGGTCGTAATAGGCAATTAAGACAGATGTTAAGAGATCTGGATCCTGGCTACTGTTAGGCCACTCTCCCACAAACTCGGTCTCCCTGACACTCTTAGAACATCGGCAAGCACTATCTAGCCCCAGGGTCTTTTCCTATATTGTTCCCTCTGCAAGGAAATCCTCTTTCCCTAAATATCAGCCACTTTTTAGAAAAATTTCTCACTAAAAGGAAAGCTCCAGGAAAGCAGCTACTTTGAAAAGCACCTGTGGCAGGCACTCAGTAAGGCTCTGGAGTAAGAATCCCTGGATTTGAATCATGGTTCTGTCACCTGCTAGCAGTGTGACTTGAGCCTCAGTTTTCTCATCTGTAATATGGGATTTCTAACAGTACCTACCCAACACGTAGCACCGAGCCTGTCCTACAGCGAGTGTCTGGTCAATGTCAATTAGCCATTGGGCCTTGGGAAACCAGCTAGGGGGACGGCTCCTGAAGCTGGAGAGGGTGGTGCTAATGAAGGGCTGGCCCTGAAGTCAGGCACCCTCCCCTCCTTCCCTGCCTCTTCCGTAAGGCCCAGAGCACCTCAATGATCTCCAGCATCTCCAGGCGCGTAATGCGCCCATCGCCGTCTAAGTCATACATCTCAAAGGCCCAGTTGAGTTTCTGCTCAAAGCTGCCGCGGGAGGTAACCGAAAGGGCACAGATGAACTCCCGGAAGTCGATGGTACCATCCCCGTTTTTATCGAAGGTTCGGAAAGCGTGCTGCGCAAACTTGGAGGCGTCGCCGTAGGGAAAGAACTGAGGGGGAGAAAAGAGAGATTGGGGCGCTTGGTCAGCCCCACCCTGCATCCCAGGGCTCCCTGAGCTCTGGGCCCCGCCTTGTCCCTCCCGCCCACCTTGATGTAGAGCTGCTGGAATTCCTCCAGGTTAAGGATGCCACTGGGACAGTCCTTCAGAAAGCCCTTGTACCACTGCTTCAGTTCCTGCTCGCTGAACTCGGTGTTCTGAACTAGGTCCTCCAGCACCTCTGGGGCTAACTTGCTGTTGGTCTTCCCCATGGCGGGGCCTGGAAAGAAAGGGGCTCCCTTAGCTTGACGGAGAGTAGAGAGGACAGGACCCTCTTTCTCCACAACAGTTTTCTTATCTCCCACTCCTTCCCATAACAATTCTCACCTTCCCACAGCCAGGATGCTTTCTTCCACCATCCCCAACAACCAACTCTTCACACTGCTGGGCTCAGTCCAGCATACCCCTTTCCATAAGAGTTTTCGATCTTCCCTAAGTAGGAGCTCCATCTCAGCAACCCCTTACTCTCTGTCTCCCTCTCTCCTTTCCCTCAAAGCAGGTTTCCTTTCCTGGTGCACAAGGTCTCCAGCCTTCCAGGTCTCAGTTCTCCTCCTTCTCATGGACCCATGCAGCATGCCATGATCTGCATCCTTTTCTGTCTTGTTTACACCTCCCATAGCTCCCTGCTTCCACAGAATAAAGCTTTCACCCCTCTTCATGGCTATTATTCATGGCTTTCCACACTCAGCCCCCACCTGCCTCAGTAGGCTCTTCTACCAGGGACCTGGGGCAGGTTCATCATGTGTCCCTCCAGCACCACTGCTCAAGTTCTTCCTCAAAGCCACCTGGACCACCCCAGCAAGAAGCTTCTCTCCCTCCTTCCTCAGTAACTCTAGCCTGTAGCATTGATGACTCTGATTACATTTTGTTTTTCATGAGTTCATTCATTCCCTGAGCACTTATTGAGGCTGACTGTGTGTTCAGCCTTGTATTAGTGATGGAGATAAAGCAGACCCGACCAGCCTTCAATAACTCATAGTCGGGTCAAAGAGACCAATCGTGAAGGGACTTCAGTCTATATTTTGAAATTTATCCACAGTGGACAGAAGCTCTTGGAGGTTTTTAAAGCAGGTGCTAGGAAGTTAGCATTCATTCCACTAACACACAGTGTGCTTACAGCATACCAGGTTTTGAACTAGGTGTCAGGGGCCCAGAGAAGTTGTGTGTTTACAAACTTTCCTTTGGTTCTAGTGTGCAAGATGACCTGGGGCCAGGGCTGGTAAGGAGAGCAGGGAGGGGCCTGCTGCACAATCTCTGTGAGACATGATGAGGCATCAACTAGGGGACCGGCTGTAGAGATATGTGGAGGGATGTTAGGAGATGGCATTGGCAGGACTTGGTGGCTGACTGAGTGAGGGACAGAGTTGAGACAGATGCTCAGATTTAGGCTGATGAATGGAGGTGCTGTTGCTGAGGAGTAGGTTTGAGGAGGTGAAGGGTCTGGAATGTGAGTCCCTTTAGTGGCCTGTGTGATGGGAAGTGTTAGCACCCGGGTGGTACAGAACACCCCACCCCCCAAGATGTCTCACTTTGTGAGACTCCCGCTACCCCAAACCCTGAAGACTGGGTGCACATTCCTGTTTGCCCTCCATGGCAGGAGTGTCCCTCCAGAGCCTGGGGTTTGTTTCCAGGACCTGACCTAAGGGTTGCCTTTGGCCTGCTTGAATATATATATATATATATTTTTTTTTGTGGGGGGGGGGAACCAGGTCTCCCACCCTAAGGTATCCTGTCCTTGAGGTGCTCTGAAAGAGTGAGCCCACAGGCTGGCAGAAGGAATTCTACTTCCACAGCTCACCTCGTGCCACTTTAGATTCTGATCTGTACCGCTGGGATTAAGGAGCTCTGGTAGCATAGTGGTTAAAAATTGGGCTGTGAACCACAAGGTCAGCAGTTTGAAACTACCAGCTGTTCCGTGGGAGAAAGATAAGGCTTTCTGCTCCCATAAAGATTTATAGCTCGGAAACCCTGTACAGGGTCGCTATGAGTCAGAACCGACTCCACAGCACATAACCACCACCACCACCGGATTGCCTTAAACAAGCAGACCTAATGTTGGTCTGTTTCATGCCCTCCTCCCTTGCTGGGTGGTCTCAAGCTAGTTACAGAATATCTCTCTCTGGGCCTC